TTGCCGTACTGTCCCTGGCCCAGCGGCTTGATAACTTCAAACTCACTCAAACGCGGATCCTCCTCCCTGCTGCTGCTTGGGTGTAAAGGTTTGCTGCTGCTGCTACGAGTGCTGTTGCTGCAGCTGAAGCGTCTCTTGCGGCTACTGCTACTGCAGTTGCTGCTGCTGCTGCTGCTGCTACTGCTGCTGCTACTGCTGCTGCTGCTGCTGCTACTGTTTCTGCTGCTGCTACTGATACTGCTGGCACTGATGGGGCTGCTGCTGCTGCTACTGCTACTTCTGCGACTGCTGCTACTGCTACTGCTGCTGCTGCTGCTGCTGCTACTGCTACTGTTGCTGCTGCTAATGCTGCTGCTACTGCTACTGACCCTGCTGCTACTGCTGCTGCTGTTGCTGCTGCTTCTGCTACTGCAACTGCTGCTGCTGCTGCTGCTGCTACGTCTGCTGCTGCAACTGCTGCTGCTGCAACTGCTGCTGCTGCTACTGCAACTCCTGCTGCTGCTGCTGCTGCTGCTGCAGCTGCTGCTGCTGCTGCTGCAGCTGCTGCTGCTGCTGCTGCAGTGTTGCTTACGCTTCATCTTGTATTGAGAAATCTGCTGCATGGCGAGGCATTTGCTGCGGAGGGGGAGGAAAGGGGGAGGCCACTGCTTGCTGCTGCATCGTTGCTGCTGCTGCTGCTGCTGCTGCTGCTGCTGTTGCTGCTGCTGCTGCTGCTGTTGCTGCTGCTGGTGTTATTGTTGCTGTTGCTGCTGCTGCTGCTGCCGCTGCTGCTGTTGAATCCCAGCTCTACACACGACTGCAGGAACAGCCCGTTAATGCAGCAGCAGCAGCAGCAGTTGCTGCTGCTGCTGCTGCTGCTGTTGCTGCTGCTGCTGCTGCTGCTGACGCGTTCGATAGCAGCAGCTGCTGCAGCAGGTGGAGCAGCAGCAGTTCCCCTGCAGCAGCAGCAGCAGCTAGCTGCAAAGTTTATATGCGTGTTGATGCTGGGGGTAATAGAGCATCTGGCGCCACAGCTGCTGCTGCTGCTGCTGCTGCTGCTGCTGCTGTTGCTGCTGCTGCTGCTGCTGCTGCAGGGTTGAGAGGAGCTGGGGGCGAGGAACTGGAGACGATCCCAAGACGATCCCCGCGGGGGGGAGAGGTGTACAGGTGGGGGGGCCCCTCAGACTGGGGGGGCCCCCATGTAGAAAGGGTTGCTGGGGTGTATAGGCAGCTCGGTGGTGCTGCTGTGTATAAAGGAGAGAAAGAAGAAGGGCTCGTGTGGGGGCGGAGGCGGCGGGGATCGATAGCAGCAGGAGGTGGTGTTGCTGCTGCAGCAGCAGGAAGAGGGGAAAGGTGGTTGGTGCTGCAGTAGGAGTTTGCTGCTGCTGCTGCTGCTGCTGCAGTTGGTTGCGCTGGTGCTGCTGCTGCTGCTGCTGTTGCTGCTGCTGCAGCGGCTGCTGCACTAGAGAATTAAACAGTTTA